AATAGTATGCATGCATGCTCATTATGGACAATTTAAACAATGGAAAACTAAATTTGACTTTATGTTATGTCTTGGTGGTATTTAGGAACTTAAAAAAAACATTATGTGAGTTCAATTAACTATTGTACATGTGAATATGTCTATCACCAATTAATATTTTCCCACCAACCTAGGAAACTCAACTCATGCTATGGGCTGACAGATTACTTTTTATAATAAAATGAAAGGAATTCAGGTTTACAAACTAAACAGGGGACACAGGAGCATCCAGAAGGGCCCCGGGGTCTGGCTGCCAGGCATCTGGTTCCCTCTTCTGGAGTCTACGTCTAACCCAGGGAGTGACAAGGCAGACCATTTATTTCTTTAGAACACAATGCTCTACCTGCCAGATGCATACAGAGATCCTTCTGTCCCTGCCAATATCGGGAACTCAAGACTGAATCATTACTTGCCAAACACCTGCAGATGAGGAACTCAGCAGTACAACCACATACATAGTAAGACAGTTATGCTGAATCATCAGAATGTTCAATTCTAAGATTCAAAGTATTTTTCTGTTATCACAAAATCAGAAAGAACCAGATGATCCAATAAAATCCCATTTTGGAGGAGCCTTATAATAATATCCTTTTGTATGAACAGAGAGAGGTTGGCAGTCAATCCACGTATTTCCCCTCCTGCCTTCCTGCTATCCTCCCATGCCTCTCCAGCCTGCGCTGCTCTCACTGCTGCTTCTTATGCTTCAACTTCTCCACTTGCACCTCCTCCCTGCTTCCATCTTTGCTGAGGTCAGAGTTGTAGGGCTGACCATGTAAATACAGTGCCACTCTCTCAAACTAAAAGGGAAGCCAGCGTCTCCAATAGTAAAACGTAATGTTTTCCAAGGAAACACTGGAAAACTTCAAGGAATAAAGAATATCAGAGAATATATTCTTTCACCAATTTCAGAATGAATAGAAATCAGTGTTGTGGAATGAGGATAAACAGATCTGCCCCTGGGATGCTGACTCAGAGTGACTCTTCTAATAGCATTTACTGGACTGAACTTCCATTCCAATGAGAACCACAAAATACCAGTAATTTTATCTGGGGGATATTTATATTTTGGTGCAGTAGGTGAATTCCCAATTAAAGGGCATTATTAGAAGAATTTATTCCCCCAAAACTAAATGTAGTTTCTTCTCAGTTAAGCCTTGTATTTCTAATGGTCTTTATGGTTCAAAGAAGAGATTTTGTTTTTGTCTTTAAAATCCACTCATTCCCCATTTCCTCATTAACTAACTCTAATAGCTGACAGCTGTTAGAGAAGACATCCTGAACCCCATTTTCCTCTAAAATAGATCAACCCAATATTCTCCTCCTCAAACCATTTGCTTTGTGATTTACAGCCTATTGGGTTTGGTGGCTGAGTATACATGGAAGAAAGCCAGGGACCTTAGAACATTCTGACTACAGCAATGAAAATACATGATTATTCTAAGGCCGCTCCCTCTCCACCCTCACGTTAGTACAAAGGATAGACTGCTACTAACTTCCCAGACATTTCCTTGGGGTGGATGGGTGAGGGTAATCACCCACTCCTGGCTTATGCTTCACAGTTTCAATCCAGGGGTCTTTCTAACTGTTGCCTTTTGGACTTTTCAGGCACCTCTTTTCTGACCGAGTTGCAGAACCTTGTACTCTAGCATTAGTACAGCCAGGATTTAGGGCTTACCCTGAATCTGAGGGTCAATTCAGAGAATGATATCCTTGGGAACTGAGCCAAACAAAAGCACACGCAAGGTGTATACATTGGGTTCTTCCCATAGTGACTGCCTGAGAATTTATGTGTCCTCATGATCTGATTAGGGATGTCCCCCAAAGTCACCTGCAGTCTATATAAATGTAAGATATAATAAAATTCAACATAAAAATTTCCATATGGAGACTTTAATAAAAATAAAAGTAAGAACCATTCATTTCTTCTGCCATCCACAGCAGTTTATTGAGCACCTGCCTTGTTCCAGGCACCATTTTGGGGGCTAGAAACCAGCAGTGAATCCAACAGACCCAGCCTCTGCCCTCACAGTCCAGCAGGAACTGCAAGAGCTGGTTTGCCAGTGTTGACCCAGCACTGTCCCCATGTCTGAGACTTGGAGTTTGATATACAGGTCCTCTGTCTCTGGGAAAGTGACTTCTTATATAAGGCAGGGAGAATTCCTCAGCTTCCCACAGACTGGCTAAAATAGCTCATAAGACCACACCGTCCCCTTTGTCCCAACCCAATCCCAAGACCCTTTTGTAACCAAAGTCATCTGTTATGAATGTAAGACTTGAGATATGTCCATAATAGTAAAGAGCCATAGAGAAGGGATGAGAGAGTATCCTTACACTAGAAGGTTGATCTCCATACTAAGTAAATAAACTCATCCTGGCCTTTCCCATTGGCTTTTTTGAGTGTGGTTCACAGTGCCTTCTGGGACAAGACCAACTTAGGTATAGCCTTGGTTTGAGGAGGCCCAAATGCCAATCACTATTGACCAAGAGCATCAGCTTGGAAAACAGAGATGAGGTCAGTTGGCTTCAATCCCTGATTACCACCTCAGGCCTCCTTTCCTGTCTATCCTTTCTTACCATGCGAGAGTAGAGTACTAAACTGTCCAGTGTTAATCAGCTTTCACAAACATACCCTATTTTAAGTATCCAACAACCCCATGGGGATATTCCTACCCCTATTTCACAGATGAGAAAATCAAACCTCCAAATTAACTTCCTCATTTTCCCACAGCTGCTAACACAAAGCCAGCATTCAAACCCAGATCTTCAGGCTTCAAACCAATGGTCTTTGCATTCTCCTGTAGCTGTCTACTTTGACAATTTCAGTTCTTTATTTTTGCACATTATTTCAGCACATCCTGATAGAGAACTGGCTTCTAACCTGCTGTTTTTCTGGGAGCAGCCACAGACTATCAGCCAGAGGAGGGCCTGCAGTTCCCCACCCTCTGTGCTGACCCATGCCTCTCTTGCCTCCTGCATGGGAATCCCGCATCTTTCATGGATGCCAGTGGACCTATTTTTAGAGATACAGGGGAACATGTAGGTTGCACACATTCAGGTCTTTTGGAGTCTGTTAATATTTTTGCAGAGGCCATTCAGGGTTTTAAATTGACTGACAAAAGGCCTCCTGAGGAGACATCTGTTCTCTGCTCTCCCCTTCAATACTCCCCATCCCCGACATGGACTTGGTTTGGGGGTGTAATTCTTTTACACCCCCCCCCCAGGGCCCTCTTTGTCACCTTAGATCAAAAAGACGGGGATAATAATAACTAGCAGCAGCTACATCTGACTTCTGTCTCAAGAAGGTCAGGAGGAAGCAGCTCTAGCTCTCCTTGACCTCTGTAGGGATCGGCAGGGCTCCTTAAGATGTTTATGCAGGAAGGGGCTGCTGCTTTACAAGTCTGGGGAAATGTCCATAGATGGATCTCAATGCTTTTTGAAACCTCCTGAGTTACAATTTTATTCTAGAGAGGGCAGACTACTATTTTAGAGGTGGGGTATATATATGCACAAGTCAGAAACTGGGGGGGAAATGTTCGCCATATTAAAATCGGGAGGAAATTAAAATGTGCATATGTAAAATCTCTGAATTTGGAGACATAATTCTGCGTTCATGTTAAAAATCACATCATCTCTGTTCAATAATGTTTCTTCACTTTAGTAGGTCAGTGGTGACAAAATAAAATTACATTTGCCTCACCAGGGACTACAGAAAATCATTGGTCCTCTCACCCCTGGAACCCTCACACTGCACTGCTCAGCAAGTGGTCATTCTCAGGGGCCAGAGCCCTGTGTGAATCCAGAACCTATCCCAGCCCTGTCTTCAGTGACTCGAGGCCAGACCTGACTCCTGACCAGGCTGACTGGTTCTGTGAGAGCATCTGCTGAGCAAAGAGGGCCAATCCCATTCAGGCCCAGAAGATCTAGGTAGAAAGGGCCTTTGCTGGAAATGTGAAGTCAGCCATCTGGTTCTTTCCACCTGTACCCAAGCAAGGAGGCTACAAGACTGGCAAGGAGACATGTGTGATGAAGCATGGCCCCTGGCTGAGATTCTGGACCCAGAGGCTCTCCCAGACATGCCAGGGAAATCACAGGTACCACAGGAGTCACCAACACCAAAGACCAAGTTCTATGATGACACCTGTGTGAAGAAAGAGACACAAGAGCAGGCTGAGAGACTCACGATCTTGGAATTTTTTCCCCTGAAGTTGCTTCAGGTGGAAGGGTAGAATACACAGATTGCCAGAATGACTCTGTTAACACTGAAGTATATGCTTTTCTTAATCACGTTGATCTTGTCTGCTTGATATACCCCAGCACCAGGCCTTGCTGGGGGTGGATACTCAGATAGTCTGAGATCTGAGATAAACAGTGAAGTCTCCTCTCCTGTGTGGCCTTCAGTATCCCTACCCCACAGCGGCAAAGGCCCTTAGACAGGGAGAGGCAGGGGAGATCAATTCACTTAGAGAAGAAATGACCCTAAAAGACATTTAGATCACCATTTGGCAGATGCAATTGCATCTCAAGCTGGAAGAATGTGTCCTAGTTCTTACTCCTGAACTGAGTAGCTGTGGGATTCAGCACTTCACTTCATCTCTCTGGGCCTTGATACTCTCACCTTAGATGGGGAAAATGCCGGATGAATTCTCAGGTTTCTTCTCAGTCCAGCCCGTTCTCATACCCTGCCCCCACCCCAGCCCCAGCTATGGTTTTGTGACTGTGGATTTTCACTGGAGCCCTAGGGTCCCACTCCAAGAGGCCAGTGCTTTCTACATGAGTAAGCGAGTTTGCAAGGGGGAAAAAATGATATTTTAAACAGCCTTAGGATAAACGGGGATGGGTATTAAACAAACATTACTCTCTATAAATTGGTACTGACATCTAGCCAAAAATTTTATGGATAAAAGGGATTTTTTTTTTTTCAAACAATAAATTTCTTTCTCTTTAAAGGAAAATTGCCAAGGATGCAGAAGGAACTGAAGATGGTCAAAGACGAAGATGTGCACTTCAGTTTGGGTGTGAAGAGAGCCCCCTCCTTTCCCCACGGCCTGCAGCCTGTGGTTTCCCGAGGGAAGGCTCCCCCAGGACACCCCTTCCCGGAAGCGCTCCGGGGGCCGTTTTCCCAGTTCCGGTACGAGCCTCCTCCAGGAGAGCTAGACGGCTTCCCAGGGGTCTTTGAAGGAGGAGGGTCTCGCAAACGCAAGAGCATGCCCACCAAGATGCCCTATAACCACCCCGCGGAAGAAGCGGCTCTCGCCCTGCACCCCGAGGAGAGCAAGAACCCGGGGGCCTCGGACCTCCCCCTGCTCTTCCCGCCGCCGCCGCCGCCGCGGCCCAAGTACGAGTCGCGGATGATCGACCTGTGCAACGTGGGCTTCCAGTTCTACCGCAGCCTGGAGCACCTGGGCGGCAAGGCCGTGAAGCAGGAGCCTGTGAAGCCCAGCGCCGTGTGGCCGGCGCCCGCGGCCCCTCCGTTCCTGCCCGCGCCCTACGCCTGCTACCCCAAGGTGGCCCCGGGCCTCGTGTTCCCCTTCTTCGTGCCCTCGGCCTCGCCCTTCCCCTTCAGCCGGCACACCTTCCTGCCCAAGCGGCCGCCGGAGCCGCCGCTGCCCCGCAAAGCCGAGCCGCCGGAGAGCGAGGAGGCCAAGCAGAAGGTGGAGCGGGTGGACGTGAACGTGCAGATCGACGACAGCTACTACGTGGACGTGGGCGGCGCGCAGAAGCGCTGGCAGTGCCCCACGTGCGAGAAGTCGTACACCTCCAAGTACAACCTGGTGACCCACATCCTGGGCCACAGTGGCATCAAGCCGCACGCCTGCAGCCGCTGCGGGAAGCTCTTCAAGCAGCTGAGCCACCTGCACACCCACATGCTGACGCACCAGGGCACCCGGCCCCACAAGTGCCAGGTGTGCCACAAGGCCTTCACGCAGACCAGCCACCTGAAGCGCCACATGATGCAGCACAGCGAGGTGAAGCCGCACAACTGCCGCGTGTGCGGCCGCGGCTTCGCCTACCCCAGCGAGCTCAAGGCCCACGAGGCCAAGCACGCCAGCGGGCGGGAAAACATCTGCGTGGAGTGCGGCCTCGACTTCCCCACCCTGGCCCAGCTGAAGCGGCACCTCACCACGCACCGGGGCCCCATCCAGTACAGCTGCTCCGACTGCGACAAGACCTTCCAGTACCCCAGCCAGCTGCAGAACCACATGATGAAGCACAAGGACATCCGGCCCTACATCTGCTCCGAGTGTGGCATGGAGTTCGTGCAGCCCCACCACCTCAAGCAGCACTCCCTCACCCACAAGGTACTGAGGCGCTCCCGGCCCAGGGCAGGGCTCCCGGCCAGGGGCGGGGCTGGCCCGTCCTTGGAGGAGAGGACCCGGGAGCCCTGCGTGGCTCCCCACCCCTACACGTGTAGACCCCCAACGTTCTTCCTCACCTTGAAATGGGAGAGAATGAGGAGCCCAACCATCAGGCCCTTTCCAATCTAGACTTGTCGAGTCTCAGGTGGGCCTCAAAAGAGATAATGCAGTTTGGAGAGGAGGGTGAGGAAAGATGAAGGACACATCACAGCGGGTCCTTGTGCTGTTGCTTCTTAGCCTCCCAGATTTCCTGAGGTTTCATTTCTGGAAACTTCATCCAGGGCACTAGCATGAGTGTGTCATCAGTCCCAACTACCCAAGACCAACTTTGCACCTGGGCTACACTAGTCAGAGCCTTCTAGAAAACTCTGGAAAGTTCTCTTGGTCTTTTTCTGCTGAATCTGTGGCTACCTTTTGGTTTAGTTTCTCCTCTCAACTGCTTCATTTGCAGGTGGCTCTGAGGGGAGCAGAGCCTTGGCCTGGGTCAGCAGGGTCCGTGCTTCTCCCACTGAGCTTCTGCCGCTTGGTTGCAGTGCTCTGTGGTTTGTGTTACAGGAGGCATGAGTGCATTCTTCTCTTCTGGGTTTGGTTTTCTCTTCCCCAAGACTCAGATCTTCAAGGAGAAATATAGGCCCACATGTCTACCTTCAGCCTAGTGTGCAGCCACAGCCCTAGAGTCACTCAGGATGAACTAAAACAAGTCCCTGGTGTGTCCCTGAGATCTTACCCAGCTAAGCTAACTTAGGTCTAAATTGAGCTTCCAAGAGGGGAAGTTTGCCCCACTGACCTCTGCTCTATCACCCTTGACTTCAAGTGGTTTTCTTGGCAGGAGAGACTTCTAGCGAGCCAGAGTTGCTAAAACATTTTTTCATTCTGAAAGGTCAGTGGAGGCCTTTGCCCAGCCAAGATAATATTTCTGCTCTGGCTTTGTGGGTTTCATCTGATAGGTTAATACCAAACACAGACAAAATGTGTAGCTGCCTTGGCTCTGCACAAACAGCTGCCCTGCAGAAGGCTCCTTAGAAACACCCAGAGTGGAGGTGCCTGCCTAGTGCGGGAGCCATCAACAAAGAGCCTGAACTGAGAGGCAGCCACCAGAGGGACCGCGTGCTGATTTCAGGGATTCCTGTATGTGTGGAAAAGGAATCAGATACATTGTAGAAGGTATGAAACTTCTGTAAGATTGTTCCTATACTTGGGTACATGATCTAGTTATCTCGATCACAACCAAGTATAGGAACAATCTTGAGAATAAAGATACTGAAGTAAATTTGAAAACTCATTAAGAAAATAGTTTTGTTAATAATATTAAACTCACTGAGTATACAACACATTTAAAAAATTCATCTTCTTAGGAGGACATTAAAATTTAGATCTCTCCATTAGCATAAATCATCTGCAGTCACCTAGACTAGACAGTATTCCAGTTAGAAAGAGCCCGGCTCTCCATTTGAGTGCTTCACTTAGAAAGGCTGAGGGACCCAACTAAGATTATGCAGTCAGTAAACGGCTAGGCCGGGACCCGAACTCCCACCATTTAGTGCCATGGGCTCACCAAAATTGAGGAGTGGTACTTTCTTGTACCATGTCCCAAATTAAAGGAATGGAAATACAGGCAGAAAGAACCTTGGAACAACCCCCGCCCTAGTCCCTGTGAATGAATACCAGGCCGTATGGATTTTATAAGGTACAGTTGTTAGCTAAAGATTTGTCTAAACCTGCAATAACCCTATTTTTATTACCATGGATCTCCACGTTTTCCTCCCCAAAAGTCATTCTGGGTCAAAATTTCTTGCAGCAGCCATTTCAGGGAAGCACTGGTTGGTAGACACGCTTTCAGTTGAGGGCGTCGACGCTTAAGTATTCAAACACTTCTCCACAAACAGCAGGGAAACTAGAAAATCTTCTTTCCTGTTTTCTAATTGAGATAGCTATCCTCTGCCAAATTTCTCTGTCAGACAGAAGCTGGCTTGGAGGAGCTTCATAGTCAAGTCACTCCGAGGCCACCATGGCCTGTGGGAACCCAGGGGACCATCTCAAGAGGTGATTATAAAGCTGTAATGTTTTTGAAGTGTGGATCTGATTGTTTTTGAATTTTCAAAGCCATTAATGAGAACTCAAGAGAACGTTGGTTTTCATACGGGAAATGATATTATAAGTTTAGGAGGTTTTGTTTTTTCATTATCGTGAAAAACATTCTGCAGTGTTCTTACCCAAATCCTATTAATCCCCAAGAGCTGTTACTGCAGAATTAACCCCAAGCAACCTGCAGGAACAACAGAAGCAATAGCTGTCTTTTCCTCTAAACATCTGGCTAGTTTATGGTTTTTAGAAGAAAATAAAAGATTATGTAATCAACACTTTTTAAGAAAATAGTCATTTGACAAGGCTACAGCCATACCGTTTGGAACTCAACATCTGTCACCAAATTCTTGGTGGATTTATGTGTCAGAGAGAAAAGCAAAGACTACTGTCCTGATGAAAGTCTGTACCTGCTCACCATGGTTCTTTTGAATCTTGCCTCCTTCCAGGGCGTGAAGGAGCACAAATGTGGGATCTGCGGGCGGGAGTTCACGCTGCTGGCCAACATGAAGAGACACGTGCTGATCCACACCAACATCCGCGCCTACCAGTGTCACCTCTGCTACAAGAGCTTTGTGCAGAAACAGACCCTCAAGGCGCACATGATCGTCCACTCGGACGTGAAGCCCTTCAAGTGCAAGGTGAGTAGTGGGCCTGAGGGAGTGTGGAGAGGAAGGGCTCAGCACATGTGCGTGGTTGGTGGTGGTCCACTCTTTGCGACCCTGTGCCTTGTAGCCTGTCAGGCTTCTCTGTCCGGGGAGTTTTTCAGGCAAGAATACTGGGACCGGTTGCCATTTCCTACTCCAGGGTATCTTCCTGGCCCAGGGATCACACCCACATCTCCTGAGTCTGCTGCATTGGCAGGCGGCTTCTTTACCCCTGAGCCACCTGGAAATCCCAGGAGAGCTCAGAGGGCTCTGCAAATGCGGGGGGCGTTAGGGAACCTTGTCCTCAGTCTCCTCAGAAGGGCTTCTGCAGCGAACGCCTGCAGCCAGACCCAGGGCATCTACTGTGCTCAGCTGTGCCCCAGGAGCTGCCCTGCTTGTCTGCCTGTGGAGTCGGTCAGTGTGCAGGGCCTGGAAGCACTCAGTCCCAGGAGAGCTGAGGGTGGCAGGTCCATTTGGAGACTGAGGTCTTTAGGACGCAGGCGATGTGGAGGCCTCCTGTTCTAGAAGGCAGCAGCCAGGTGCAGCCCTCTTCCCCTGACAAGCCAGAGAGAACACAGAGGACTCAGAGAAGCTTCCAGCCCGTCTGCTTCCCTTCCCCCCGCCACCCCGGCTCCCGCCTCCTGACACGTGGACTGAGCAGTGTAATTTGAGGGCAGGTCTTCCGGAGGGGATGAAAGAGATTTAAAGGCTAACCCCGCTGTGACCTCAGAAATGCTTGCTGGGGCAGAGGAACAGCCGTGAAGTGCTTCTTGTTTCTTCCTGAGCACCGTGGAGCATCTGTGTCCCAGTCTCTGGGTCTCATTAACTTGGTGGGGTTTTTCTTTCATGCACTGAGGTAAAGCTTGGGCTGGAGACTTGTCAAGCCCAAGGCACTGACGGGCGCTGCTCAGAAGGGCTCGGGGTGCCCCGGCTGTCCCCTTTCCCCATGTGGTTTCCACTCCTCAGGTGAGGAGAAGTCTCGCTTAGGGTTGGATAGTTTACTTCAAGGAAGGTACTGCCAAGTGACCCCACAGTCCCGAAGAGAGGGCTGAGAGGGGAGCAGAGGAAAATCATCGAGCTCAGATATCATTAGCGTTTTTCTGTTTGACGTGGATGTTCCTTCTGTCTGTGCTGCGTGTCTGACAGAGTCCCAGTGACATTCTTTGTCGATCCCTGTTTCTGGAGTAAGGTTCCCTGCTTCCAGGGGCTGTCGCTGCCTTCATCCCTCTGCACTATGTCCCCCCACTTGAAGGAACCCCCTGTGAAGCTGACTTCTTTCCTGTGCTGGCCCCTCCTGGATGGGGTGAGAGGGGTCAGGAGCCAGAGCTTCCCTAGACCTGGTGGGCATTCTCCGGAGATAGGGGAGGGAGGGTTCTCCCTCCAGCCCTTTTCCTGCCACCCACTTGTGTTTCCCCTGCTCTCCTTCAAGTTCCCAGTGGTTTGAAAGTCAGTTTATGTCCATCTGGAGTGATCTGAGCTGAAGAGGGAGGAAGCTGTATGCAGGATGATGTACATAATTTGCAGGGCCTGGTGCAAAGTGAAGATGGGGCCCTCGTTCAGACGCTATTCACAATTTCAAGATGATGAAAGCAGAGCATTCCACCAGACCCAGGACCCCTCTGAATTCGGGGCCCCGTGTGATCACACGGTGCACACTCGTGGAGTCAGGCCCAGCTGCATGAGCCTGCGGGTGCCACGGACCAGCTCTCCTGTCTCCCTTTAGACACGCCTTGGGTTTCCTTCCCGCCTCACTGAGTCTCTTGACCCCTTCACTTTTTTTTTTAGATTAAAAATTTTTTTTTCTCTGGTCATGCCATGCAGTGTGTGAGATCTTAGTTCCCTGATCTGGGATAGAACCCCTACTCCCTGCACTGGAAGTGTGAAGTCTTAACCACTGGCCCACCAGGCAACTCCCAAACCCTTCACTTTTCACAGAGCTGTTCCCACCCTCCAGGGGTTTACTGTCTGCTACAGTAGAGGTACCACCTGGGGCTCATTGCCCCTCTTCATTCCTTGTGTTGGGTTTACTCTTGAGCTTCAAGGACGAACTGTATTTTTATCTACTGGTGGCGGAGCACACGAAGTTGTTAAAATATGCGGGTGCTGTTGCATGGTTTGCAATCCCCTAAAAATCCATATTCATCCAGCCCAGCCCCCTCCCACTTCACCAGTCAGGGCCAGCTGCAGCGGTTAAACCAGGCAGCAAACGTCTCTGGAATGGAGGGATTTGATAAAGCAGAGCCAATTCAGGAAAAGGGCTTGCAGGCTGTGTGTGATTTGAGGGCACAGAGGCAGTTCTGTTTCTGTACCTCAAGGGCCCAGAGGGGTGCAGAGGATCTTGGACCAAGGGTGCCTGAGAATTCAGAGGGTTCTCCCTGGTACCAGGGCACAGAAGACTGGACTCGATGGGGCCAGTGATGCAGTGAGCCAGGCCTCCACTCACGCTGACGATAGAGCGCCACACGTGCTTCACAGGGTATCAGCTGGTCAACTGCAGAAACTTGATCGGACCTCTCCTTGAGGGTGGATAAGGCTCCAGATATCTGCTCCAGATATCTACATGATAAAATCCCATAAGAGAAGGGTTTGAAGCGTGAAGTGCCAGCTCCGAAATGAGGCAGTAGAGCTTTCCAGTGGGAGGTGGGCCTGGCCATCTGCAAAGGTCACTTCTTCCTGGTGAGCAGGTCCACCAAGGAGACCACAGGAGGTCGGAGGCTGCCTGGAAGGGAGTGTCGGTCATTTAAACAGAAAGCCCTGGATGTCAGAGTGTACGTTTGTCCGACTGAGGTGGCCCCACTCCTTTCTTAGACATTTCTGACACAAGATTGGGTGTCAGTCACCTCATCAGGAGCACGTGTCTCCTGACAAGCGCCAGATGCACTGCCAGGCTCTCCCTCGCTTTGCCCCATCTGCCTGCCAAGCGCCGCCTGCTCGGTGTCCTCTTCACACCTTCACTCTTTTCATTTCAAAGGAGTTTCAGAGCATGTCTGAATGTACAGGTTATGTAATGAGGGCCTGTCTGTGTGTTTATAAACTGGTTGCAGACACCACTGTGGGATGGGCCATCCCCAGATGGTGTCCTGTGACTTTGCTTCTTATTGATGTCACGCTGGATTCTTGGAAATCTGGTCCTGGGTGGGGTTTGTTCAGGTCTGGGAGTTGGGAGAGGAATAGAAGGCCATTTGCTCATTGCCATGCAAGTCACCCCCTCAGGGGGGAGTGGCTGGCTGGCTGGCTGGCTGCGTGGTGATGCTGGAGAACAGGCCTGGACAACTAAGCCTGACCTTCATCATGGGGAAGGGTTTTCCCCTTTACGTGATTGACATGGCTGCAAGAAAACAGGCAGACCTTGCCCCAGCCACACTCCAAGAGTTGGCTCCTATCTGTTGTTGTCCAGTCGTTCGGTCATGTCTGACTCTTTGTGACCCCATAGACTGTAGCCCACCAGGCTCCTCTGTCCATGGGATTTCCCAGGCGAGAATACTGGAGTGGGTTGCCATGCCCTCCTCCAGGGAATCTTCCCGACCCAGGGATCGAGCTCACATCTCCTGCTTTGGAAGGCGGATTCTTTACCATTGAGCCACCTGGGGAAGCCCTGACTCCATCTCCTTTACCTCAAAACTTGCAAAAAAAAAAAAAAAAAAAAGGTGGGGGGAAGAGTCTTTAAGTAACAGATTCTAATTTCCTGGGATTCTCTGCACTAAAAATGCTTCCTAACATCAATCCCTCCTACTGTGGTCACATGAACTGATTCTCCCTGGCCCTGGCTCAGTGGAAACAGCTGTCCGCAGCAAGCAGAAACATTCATTTAGTGCAGGATTAAGCATTAACAATAGGATGGAAAATTGGAGGAGAGGAAAGGTTTCCATTTAGTTTCTTTTTTTTTTTCTTATGAAAAGTTACTGCCCTTCTGGGTTCTTTTGCTGTTGGCTCTACTTCTGGACTCCTTGCTTCTTGGAGCCAGCTGGAGCTTCTCCAGAGACCTGCGCCTGTAGACTTAAGCCATGTTTCAGAAATATGCTTCCCAGATTCTGCGTAAGCATGAAGGGCTTGATGTGGGTGCTCTCCTTGTAGCAGCCACACTCCATAATAGCAAAGAACCAGCTGCCGTCTTTGGGAAACCTGTCCAGGAAAAGCAGTCAACCAGAATTTCCGGGACAAATTCTCCTTTGAGATGGGTGAAGCCGGGAGCTGCCTATGTTATGAATCACCAGGTCATCTGCAGCCTGCCTGAAGCAGAGGGCTGAAGGCCGAGGGAAGAACAGATAGAAAAGGTTGAGGTCTCCCTGAAAAGGGTCCCCACTGCCTCTGCCAACTTGGCTCCATCTCCCCCTCAAGCTCTCGGATGCTCCAACCCAGTGGGGACTTGTAGGCACCCAGTGCTTGGATCAGGGCTCTCAGGCTGGCATTGAGGGGGTTAAGGCAGTGACCAGATAGCAGCCTTTTGGCAGCAAAGCCCTCCTCAGCAGAAGGAAGGATATAGCTGTATGAACTGCCTGCTTAACAATGCCTCGCATGTCCCCAGGGGCCCGCCTGCAAATAGATTTCATCTTGCTTTCTCTTGTACTTTTCAAAGCTTCCTGTTTTCTCACGGTCCTTTTGGACAGTTTACAGTCTCTCTCTCCCTCCCTCCCTCTCTCTCCCTTTGAGGAAAGGAACACCCTTCTTATTAAAAGAGAAAGAGAGAGAAGGATGTAAGGGAAGGGCAGCTTGACAGGCCATTCTCCGGGGCTGCAGGCTGCAGCTCTTTGACCTTTCCTCTCAGAACAGGGAAGCAGGCTTCCTGGTGCATGTCCCAGTTGCGTGCCGCCTCTTGTCTGGTGGGCCTCTGGGACCGGCCCAGCTGCTGCCCACTGCCATCGCCCTGCCTCTGCGCCCAGTGACTTCTCTGTGGCTCCGCTGTCCGCGCTGTCACTGGGGCTCGCGGGAAGGCGCCGGGACCAAGGAGGGACTGGGCGCCAGGAGGCAGAGTCAGGAGCGTCTACGAAGAGAAG